TCCTGCCACATACCCGCTACCCTGCCACATACCCGCTGTCCTGCCACATACCCGCTGTCCTGCCACATACCCGCTGCCCTCCCACATACCCGCTGTCCTGCCACATACCCGCTGCCCTCCCACATACCCGCTGCCCTCCCACATACCCGCTGTCCTCCCACATACCCGCTGCCCTCCCACATACCCGCTGTCCTCCACGATGGAGATAAGAGTTAAAGACATCATAGCACAAAACTCAATCATCCCAATAGTCTGAAACTTACGATTGAGTTATAACGTTATAGTGACGTCACACACCTCAGTGGAAGCGGTATTTAATATGCGGTGGCACAGCGGTCTGTTTTACGGGCTCACCATAGCCCGTGCTACGTGGACACTCCGTCCTGAATAGCTAAATCTTTAACAACAACAACAACAGTGGTCTGTGCTCTCGACTCACAGCCGCGGGACCCGGGTTCAAACCCCAGGCAGGACAGAGACGGTTGGGTGCCCGGGAGTTATCCAACTGTTGTGGGTTCCCACTATAACGGGTTCTTATTATGCTATAAGTGTGTCGACATAGCTCTAAGCTGCCCCCAGGAGGAGAACAGATGAAGAACGTTAAGCGTCTTAACTATGGCGCGTATACCGCACTCTGGCGTCCGAATGCTCGATAAGGAATTAGAACTTCCTCAAGCAAGCTTGACCCAGATACAAGGAGGCCATCGCTATAACAACCATGCTGGGGGGGGGGGGGATAATTACAACTGCATGGGGTCAACAAGCCATCCCATAACCCAACAAATACAATTATTCACTAAATGAGGACCTAACTGCAACAATCCCTTGAGCAATGTGTTTTATGTATATAGCATTCTGTAGTTACGAGTGCTTCAGCGCATGTCTCAAATGGATTTTATAGAACTAAACTTTTATTAAGCCCCTTCTTCACGCGTACTAGGTACCAGGAGAATTCAAACTAGGAAAGCCAAGGGAAGCCAAAGCCAGGGATCTCGCCAGGGATTGTGAAAATGTCGAGTGACCGTCTGCCACTGGCTTGACTTCCTCAACTTTCTATTCTTGCACTTTCAAGTAAAATGACAAGATTCCTCTTGTGAATTCCTCGCTACTTCCTGCCAGTCGCCCACGTCAGGGTAGACGCGGCAAAACCCGCTACTGAAGCCGGCAGCAGATGAGCCGTGGACACACTCCCGGGAGGACGAGGCTTTGGCAGCCATTTCCCGCCAAGATATCTTCAGTCGCCATGCGGATTTTTTCAATATTTTTTGTTGGCAGCGGCTTTCTAGCTCCAATTATTCTCTAGCTTCAAGCATTCTTGAATGTTAATGAATATATGGAGGTATATTCATTATTGGTCGTTCATTTAGAATGTGTGAATTGTGGAAATGTGAACGTGAGCTGGTTGCCAGCCTAGTGGCGGAATTTCTTTCCATAAGAACGCTGCAAATGTCGTGTTCGCACAAACGTAACTACCATCTGGTAATTACACACTTCGCCTCTTGTTTCGTAGTTTATTCTTGAAGGACAAGACGAAAAGCTAAATGTGGGGGGTGGAGGAAAGGAAATGAATTATCAATGAGAAGCACCAAGCCATTATGATTATAAAGCCATTGGAAGGGATCAGGATAAAGATTTGGGTTGTGACGGGGGGGGGGATAGAATGGTGCCCAACCGCTTGACACGGTCGGGGATTGAACGCCGACCTGCACAAAGCGAATTTGTTAAATACACACAAACCAAACACTGTGTTGGAGAGTCTGTGTGTACGATACTGCGACAAGTGCATTGTTATATTTGCTTCTCACTTGATGTGAGGCCGGGTTAAGAAATTTATCTAAGAGCTTTAGATAAAGCCTTGACAGGAATGGCAAGTTGGATCTAAGTTAAGAATTGTGAAGTAGTGTACACAGCCCTGTGGAGAGCAGCAGTCTTCCTCCTTCCATTCATCAGAGAGTCCAGTTTCCACGCGTACTTTGTCTGAAATATCTTTTGTAAACGACAGCTTCATGAGTTTGCCATCAAAATATATTTATCGACGAGGTGTTCGTTTTATATATGAATATAGGGAGGTAATTTCAAGGTGAAATCACATTGAAATTACGAAAATGAGTTTTGGAGAACAACTCTTTCAGCTAAGCCCTGATGCTAAGAAAATAGTTAGAGGGATAGAAGCCCTAAATCAGAAGATAGTAAATACAGAATATGCGGTCATATTCAATGAGACATGTTTTAAAGAAAACCTGCTGCCAGTATACACCAATATATATGTATGTATATATTTTGCACAAAATGATTAAATCAAAATGAAAATAAATCGAAATCAATGAAAATTAAATTTATCAATGCAATCGGAAGCATTGAAATGGAATTGCTATTATGGGCAACAGATGGCACTGTTAAAAAAAAATGTTTTTACCTGTCACAGGTGAGGCATGTATATAGTAGGTATATAAAAACACGCGCCTATTCGGTCGCAACGTTGTATAAAAATTTCAAAGCA